AAGTGATGACATATCTATTTGTGATAGAAGAAAGCCTACATTGATGAAACAAGTGAATTCCCGGCCAACAAAGAAATTCCCTTTTAAGAGGTTCCGTGACATCTTCCACCAGCTGTGCCTTTGTTGTTCTAGAGCATCTACAACGTCTCTCTCCACACCTTCCTGCAAGCTGGAATGCTAGGGCGGCTGCAAGCCTGCCCCTGGCATGGCTATCCCAGCCTCTGCTGCTTTGGCAGGAGCAGAGCCAGCAGCAGCTCAGCTATGACACAGGAGCACTGAAATGCTCAAAGCTGGCAACAGGGAAGTTGCAGGGGACAGCATGATCCTGTTTACCGGATTAAGAGACCAAGAAATAGGAGACTCAGTTTTAACTCCAAGGTCCACGACTTTCCATCTTTTGTGATCATAGAGTATATTTAGCTCTGGTATGTAGCTTGCTCCCATCCGTGGGGAACAAGTTCTTCATATAAGTCATATTTAGAAGTGACCCAGCGTCCTTGCTACCAAATTATCAGCACAACAACTGTCTAGCTGCCTCACTGGTGTCCTCAGCTCACAGGCAGGCCAGCCAGAGCCACATTTATCATTCAAACTACTGGGCATGTATTTAATACTGCAGAGTTAGGGACTGGTATGCCCGCAGCTGTGCAAAGGAAAGATGAGATCAAGTACAAGCTGGACCACTCTAAGAATTCAGACACATGCACCAATCTGCCACACTGGGACTATGTGGCACCAGCCAGACCAGAGCAGGAGAATTTTGCATCTGACACTCCCCAGCTCCTTTGGTCTCTGCTGCTATGGAGGTTGCTCTTGTACTGGCAAGGATGAAGAGCAAATCCACCGAGGGCAATGGAATCACGCAGAGAAGACAGCACAACTCACATGCTGTATAAACAAAGCTAGAGCCAGCTCAGCCTGGCTCTCCATCACAGGCAGGCTTGTGCCCTGACTGCACTGGAACGGCACATGGCACCCTTTACCCAGAGCCTGTCCCCTGCAAAAGGTCTACTACTGCCTTGAGCTTGATGCACGTTACACAGCCAAGTGTAAGGTCAGTATATCAGACCATGCTCCCCTTTCTTATTGTTCTATGGACCTATACTACATGCAGGACACGAGCAAACTGTGCCCCTAACCATAACACATTATATACCAAGCCCTTGGGTCTGATACCAGTGTTTGCCAACTTGAGGCAGATATTCAGGAAGATTTCCAAAGCACCTGATCTGCTTATAAATACACGTCTACTCTAAACAAACAAATAAAAGAGCTCTTTCTGGCTGACAACTTTTGGTCTGAAGAGCAGTACCCATGCCCAAGAACCAGCAGCTGAAGCCATTTGGGAAATGGATTTGGATGTTTCTCAGGAAATCCCCCCCCCCCCAAAAAAAAAAAGCTTTCATGTTACAGGCACACGACAAACAACAGGTGCTGGGAGCACATCCATCCCATGGGAGTTGCCTGGGGTCCAGGGCAGGCCAACTTTGAGCAAGTGGGAGCAGGGAATGCCAGCTGACAGGGGCTGAGCAGAGCAAGGCCAGTGTGTGCCCTTTTATAAGCATAACCACAGAAAAGATGAAAGTTTGTTTTATTTTTAACCCAATAGTGAAGGTTTAGGGATACACAGCTGCGGGGGGGGCCGGGCAGACACAAAGGGACTTTCTTCCCTTCCGAAATGCAGCAGCATCAATGAATGAAATTTCATAGATTTAACTCTTCCCAATGCTGCCCGACCCCAGAATCAGGGGGCTTCCAAAACAAGCAGATATGCAAGGATGGGCAGTGGGATCTCTGCAGCAGCAATGGAAAGAGCTGGATCCTGCTACATGAGACAGCTGTATGTTTCCAAGAGCTCAGTCGCTGGTTGATCTCCTACACAGATAGCTCCTCTGCTGAGGCACAGCCACAGGAATGCATCTGCCATACGCTGCTCATGTCCACAGCAGCGAGTACAGCAAGTACAGAGGAGAACGAGGGAATCCCTGCTCCCTGCACAGACTCAAACCTGTCTCCAGCACCAGATTCCCAGGGGAGAGGACCAAGACGGAGGCACAAAACCACCATGTACTCCTCCTGTTCAAGCAGCCTGCACAGTTGCTCCTAGCAGCTGCCAAGAACTTTCAATATGTTTCTCAAGATTTCATAAAAGGGACACTGCTGCAGTAATAAAGTAATGGTGTTTGGGGAGAGAGGGTCTCCCCCTTCTCTGGTCCCATAAACACAGCTCTGTGCTGGCCAGGAGCTGCAGGGGCACACCGGCATTGCAGCCTCCAAGTACAGCACACACTGTAAGCTCCAGGCTAATGCTGCTTCCCTAAACTCAGAAGCCAGATCTCCAACTCACCCTGACACAGACACATCCTTTGCCTTGCCTTACTATAAAGATCTCTGGTTACTACAATCTAGAGAGTACTTTTCAAAGGAGGATTTACTACCGACTCCATGCTGTCTGCTGGGTGAGTGCCTCCCCTGCCAGGACAGCAGGAGGAAGGAGAGAGGCTCTTCACGGTTTCTCTTTCTGTTCCACATACCCCAGGCAGTATTTACAGCCTCATTTGGGTGCCTGGGGCTGGGGTGGGGGAAGCCTTCAGTTTATAAATAATCCTCACTGATGTTTAAGTAATTTTCAGTTTCCATTCATTTCAGGTTTCACCAAAACCAGCATTCTGTGGCTTGATAGCTGGAATACGACAATGGGCTCATTCATGTCTTCCTTGCCAAGTCCAGCTTGCACACCTAGCACCCATGTCCCACAACAATCATCTTTTGAAAACCACATGCCAACCCGATGGCACAAGCATTTTACAGAGACAGGAACTGCAGGAGGGAGAACCTGGCAACATCTCACACCATGGGCAAAGCCACTGAGAGCCACTGAGCTTGAGCTTGGTAAGGACCCACTCGACACAGCACAAACTGACAGCAGCAATTCAGTGAAGCTTCCAAAGACACAGTCAGAACCTGACAAACTCCTCACCTACCCTGAAATCCCACAGAGGACTGAGGAAATTGTGAGTTCAAGAGAATGCAAGAATGGAGGCTGGCAGGCTCTTAATTTTGTTGAGACAAAGAGGGAACCTGCAGCCAAGCTCTACTGCTTGACTGAGCACCTGATGCTTTGCTCAGAAGCCAGAGAGCAGACCCCATCACGGCTTTTTGCCCAACCCATGTTTCCAGTGATTGTGCTGCAGCAATGACTGCGTGCAATGAAATTCTCATCTACTGATGCTTGCAAATGATGATATATAATCCCCTGCCTCCAGCCCTCCAGTCTCCTGGTTCCTGTCTCTTGGCAACTGATAAATAATTTATAGTGCTCTCTGCTGTATGTGCTAACTGTAGCTCTGGTGGTTTAATCTTGAAACCAATGCCTAAGATCTGGAACACTGTTTAGCTCACAAGGAACATGCAGTCAGTTGACCAACACTCCTCTGTATGTGAAACTAAAACCAAACTCTTCAAAACCTCCGTTTTCCTGAGCTGCACCCACAGGAACAGCACCCACAGGAACAGCAGATTATCTGCACTGGGTGCAGGCGTGTGCCGGTGCTCCTGCCAACAGGAGGAGTTCAACGTGGTTCACCATTTTGCTCTTTTCTGTTCACATGCTTGGAAAAGCCTGAACAGGCTGGTTTTATCGTCCACTCTTGTGCACTCCTGTGCAATCTGGAACGCCTCTGGGATTCACGTCTCAAAGGCATCACTGTTGCTTACTTTGGGGGCTAAGGAAACTATTATAGCTCCCATGGAAGGAGAGGTATTAAAAAGCACCATCTTGCCTACATGGATTACTGTGCACACATGAGAAGAAAAAAAGGGACTCTTCATTTCATGACAGATGTTCTTTGGCTCTTTCCAACAGAGCTGTAACCGCACATGAACACTGGCATGTTTGAACCATACACAACACGCGCACACTGGGTGTGCACTATTGTGGCAACATAGCCTCTCACATCCATAAACTCATTGGAATGAGATTACCCAGGCAGTTGGCAACTGCAGCCATGAGGGCAGAGGAGAGAAAGTTTCTGTTTTGTTGCTAGCAGATTTTTTCTTTAGAAAAACCCCACCTACCCCAAAACCCATGGGCAGAGAGCAGGAAAGGGATGAAGTATTCCTGCTGACAAAGGCCAAAATCCCATCTATTTCTATGAGAGGCACACAAAACCCACAACAGAGCGGTGCTCAAAAGCTGTAAAAAATGCACCTACTTTCTAAATGCCCTTAGAAAATAATAATAAAACCCCCCTATCAATATTCACTTTCTGAAATGGTGTAAAAAAGGAACGGCATCAATCATTAAACAGTTAAATGAAGGCAGTATGACAGTCACTATTGTTCTCGTGAAGCACACTTGTCTTTTGCCGAGCAGCTGCCAGATCCTATTAGATGTATAAAAAGAGGACTTTTCTAACCGAGTAGGGATGGTATAAGCTATTGAAAACAGCAGACAAAAGCCCACTTTTGCAGACTATTCAAGCCTCGTATAACATCTGTCCAAAATCAATTTTTGACCTAATGTTACTTTCATTAAGTAACAGACTTTGTTTCTAATGCAATTTGTTTTCTAGGATAAAACTGTATCCTAAGCATTATTACGTGGGAAATGGCACAAAGGGAATAGAAGATCTTATTTGAGACACATAAGAACAGAATTTGCTTAATTGTTTTGACACCTTAAGTACTATAATAGAGAAACTATTTTCCATTTATTTGAATTCTTGAAGTTGGCAAAGCAGCAAGTAATGCACTGGGTTTATTATGACTAAGATTTACTGAGGATAAAGCAGAATCTTTGGGAATTACATTAAAGCTGACAAAGGCACAAAACCTCCGAAATTTTCACCAGAAATAAAGTACTCTCTGAGCATTAACAACAGCTGCTGAAACTGTCCACTCTTGATGCCTAAAAGGCTTTTCTCATGCATTTTAAAGCACGAGGAAGTTGATTCATGAATTTGATTTCAAACAGACTTTTAAGAACCATTTGCACTTACCCAAAGGGTCTCTGAATGAAGGCTGGATGTAGCTGCTGCACACCTATGGTAAAACCTAAAACATGTTCAGAAAAGAGAGAAATATTAATGAATGGCATCCACTAAACCACCTACATTCAGCTCTTAATGCACATGCATAATTCCACCTTGGACCACACATACATGCATTTTACCTGCTATTCATGTGAGGAAATTTAGAGCCCCATTTAGAAGCAAGTTAATTTTAATATGTGTATGCGATACACAGGAGCAGCAGATGGGAATTCAGATTAAAGATGGGTGTGAAAGTGCTCTTATTGAACAGACAATGGGGTATCGTGCCTCATTTTACACACTGGGTACTGCGGTCATTAAACCAAAGAGCAGAAGATGAACTGGATTTTACTGTTAATATGGATGTAGCAAAGGGGATAACAGGAAAATGGATTAGTTTTAATGCAGTTATATGAACTTGGATGCATAACACTAGTGTAGCAGGTATGAGTAAGATGATATGGAAGAGATAACTGGACTGGACAGTGTCCTCAGTCAACAATCAGAACTACGAATGATAAGCACACATTGCCAGATCAGATGAATCCAGCCTGAGTAACTAGTTCCTTATCTTACAAGTTATTCTAATAGAGATGGGATTTCCCGGGTGCCTCACCAGTTTGAATACTCCTTGGTTTTGCTCCCAAATAGGCCAGGTTCACATTCGCTTTCCTGCCATCAATGATGGGGTTTGGGTCTTTGCATGCTCTTTCAGCTGCAGCTCTGTCTGCCATAGTCACCTAGAGAGAAGCACAGCCTTGTTTGTAGCCCCAGCACTTTGTAAGCGCTCCAGCAACAAGCACTACGTGGAGTTTATTTATTGTTCTATTTTGAATCAGGAGCTAAACTCCGCTTGCTGCGGTCTCGCAAGACGGGAAGAGCTCCTGGTGACCTGATGGATAAGAGGGCTCCCCCCTCGCCAAGCTACCCCGTTGTGCTTACATCCGCCGGTCTCCCTCGCCTCCCCACCAGTGCTGTTCTAAGGGGTTGGCGGCGCCCAGGGCTGAGGGGAGCGGGCAGGCGATGCACAGCAAGGCTGAGCCGGGACCGGAGGTGCTGAAACACGCGGCGCGGGGCGCTCCGCTCCGGGGACCCCCACCCCAGCCGTTGTCCCGACACACGCACAGCCGCGACGGGACGGGCGGCAGCACCGAGCCGCTCACAGCGGGCACCGCTGCCAGCCCCTGCCCGGGGACGGGAGCGGAGCGCGGCGCGGACACCGAGGCACGGCGCGGCACTTACAAAGCCGTATCCCCGGGATTTGCCGGTCTGCCGGTCGGTGATCACCACCGCCTCCTCGATGTCCCCGAAGACCTCGAAGTACTTCCTGAGGGAGGAGTCGGTGGTGTGGTAGGGCAGCCCCCCGACGAAGATCTTGGTGAAGGTGGTGTCCTTCTGCACGGTGTGCATGGTGCCGGGCGCGGCCGGCCCCTGCCGGCATCCACCCCGCGCCGCCGGCCACGACAAGAAACCTCCCCTCGCGGCGGCCGAAGGGAGCGGAGTCGGAAGCTGGGTCCCGGGGGCCTACAGCCGGCTCATGGCCGCGCTTTGTGCCGGGAGCGCGGGCGGCCCCGCGCCCTCCTGCCAGTGCCGGTGAGTAGCGGCCGCCCGCCGCCGCCACCGCCCTTTGTAGGGCCGCTCCCGCCCCGCCCCGCCCCGCCGCCGCGCAGGGGCGCTCGGGGCGCGTAGTCCGGCTCCGAGCCCGGCGGGGCGCTGCGGACGTGGGGGCCGGGGGGGGCTGTGAGGGGCCCCGGGCGCTGCCCCTGGAGCAGCAGCGGAGCCACCGCGCACCGCGGCCTCCTCGCCCCCCGTGAGCATCGGGACCCCTGCGGGCATCGGGGCCGCCGCCGGGCCCCGCGGACCCCCGCGACAATGGGGGCAGCCCCTCGGGCTGAGCCTGCCCCAGACTACAAGTCCCGGCGGCTCCCGGGGAGCGGCTACAAACGCCGCGGGCATACGGGGACGTGGGGGGCGGCGAGGGTATTGGTGCGGCGGGAGCCCGCCAAAGAAACCCGCCTGGGATGAGGGTTCCTCACTGCCCCTTCCCGCTGCTGGGCTGCAGAATAATCTCAAGTGCAAACGTTTAATCCCTGGCGGGCTCGGACCCAGGACAAAGCCCTCAGGCAGTTTGCCAGCCCTTGTGGCACGGCCTGTGGCAAAAGCGCGTTAGCGAGCCAAGGCGGGAGGAAGGGTTGGTCTGGAACCAAGGCAATGAGGAGAAATCGCTGGTCACTGGTCCAAAAGTGTCTTTCCTCAGCAGGTTCCTAAGCCTCCTGCTTGTCCCCTGGACACACAACATCTGTCTGTGCAGCCTCCCTCTGCGGGGCAGGGATGTGTTATTCCCGTTTCCAATGCAATGGGATTCTCTTCTGCTGTCCCCCCCCTCTGCAATTTGTTCCCTCTTGAGGACAGGCAGCTCATACAAGGGAGGCTGTGAACTGCCACTGCCTTTGATCTGATCTGAGTTGCAGCTTTCAGCCCTGACCTGGGAAACCTGTGACTCACAGCTGGCAGTATTGTCCCTGTAGTGCAGCCCCACATCCAGTTCATGTACCTCAGTCTATAACTGCAAGAAGACAAAAGCTCAAAAGCTACTTGGTGCCTCAGAATCCACCATCGAAGAACATACTGATGGGATGGTGGAGTGTGCTTGCAATGCTTTAGTCCCTCCCCTCCAGCATGGGTTGGAGTCTGGGGTGTGGGAGGGGGTCCTGGAAATCACTTTTCATTCAGTTTCCATCTCCCAGATACTCATCAGCCAGACCCTCAAGAACTGCCCCTGTGCCTTAGCTTTACCTTGCCTCTCCAGGCTCATCACTTTGCAGAGAAACAGAGAAGAGTTTTTTCCACATGATAGATGCAGAGGTAACATTTTATCAGAAAAGCCAGTGAGGTTCTAAATCACCATCTACTTTGGCTTCTACACAGCAGGTTCAGGCTCTGCAGACATTTTTCTTTCACAGAGCCCACAGAGAAAAGCCAGTTATTTCAAGAGAAAGGAATGCGTTAATGTCTGCGCTCCACAGTTATTCATTAATATTTTTCTTGCACTGCTTCCATAGTTCTAAATACCATGTGCTTCATAAAAGAAGGAGAGAAAAAACAAAGCCAAGGAAAGCCATTAAGCTTTTCATTCCTAAAGCACCATACTTCAAGACTAGGACACATTTCCATTGATTGCTGTGGGTGATGGAGCTGGGCCAGCAGCACCCAACATCACTGCAACATTAACAGCCTTCTGCAAAAGGGACAGTCACATGGGAATCTGCAGAGCTTTGTGTTATGCAGTGGGGGGGTTGCGTGTGTGTGCGCAGACACCAGCTGTCCCTGGTCCATACCAACAGCAAGCCCACAACACCCCTTTGGGGTTGGAATGCACCCAGAGGCTGGGGCCTCCCCACCACCAGGTCATACCCCGTCTGTCTGCATGACTTCCACCACTGAGTGCACATCAGCTGCTTCCTGGGCCTCCCGAGCTAATGACAACCCAGTTGGCATCCAGTCACTGTCCTTTCACAGAGCTTCATTCTGCTCCAAGTGATGGCAAAGAGTCAAATCATCCAAACAGACCCCGACTCCTCTGCAAGGCAGGCAAGGCTCACAGAGCTCCCAACAGCTAGCAGAGGATCTCAGTTCTCAATGCTTACACTGGTCAGGGTAGGAAAAATGACACATTCTTTTTTCCTCTTCAAACATGAACCCCACATCTCTCAAAGGAGGAATCCCAGTTCCTTTTCTTTCCTAGAGGCAGGAACAGAAGTTCTCTTACAGGCAGAATGGAGCAAGAAAGATATCAGGGCTAAGCCTGTACTTGGTGAGCATTGCTGCTGGTGTGGCTGGGGGGGGAGTGTGCACTTGTTTTGCCACAACCAGGAAAGCAGGATGGGAAATGACATCTCCTGTCTCATGATATAGCAATTACAAGCACAGAGTCTAATGAAGTGGTACCACAAACACACCAGGAAAGAGAAGAGAAAGCAAATAAGGGTAACTTTATGGGGGTTGGGTTAGTTTGGGTTTTTAACCCTTTCTTTTGCCTTATTGTTGTGATAAGCAGTCATCCTCCCCAAAACACCAACAGATTCAATCCAGCCATCAGACCAAAACTGCAGGAGCTTGGCAGAGCTGGTTTGCTGATGCCTTCCCTGTGCATTAACTACAATGATAAGAGAGCTTGAAAATACTGCAGTCCAAGTTTCTCTGGCCAAAGAGAGCTCCTGCACACACAGATGTGTCTCTAAGTATGAAGCTCCCCTGGAGAATGCTGGACAAGGCTTAGCACAAGGGAAAAAGGGAACACATATCTGATACTTGCTATTGTAGGGCTGTATTTAGTTCTTTTTGGCTATTAAGAAATAGAACAACACTGGTCAATCAATGAGTCGTCATTAGCAATGTTGTGCAACCATTCATATTCTTTAACGTATAGGATTTGTATTGCAAATCCAGACCATCTTATTCTTATACAGATTGGGAAGAATAATGTTATGGTAATTCAATACAGTTAAGAGAACTCACTGGCTCTTTACTTACTTAGTAGTATATTCCTTGAGATCCAAACCTGATACACAAAGGCTTGTTCTGGTGGACTTCAGCAGCATTATCGAAGACATGAGATGGAGCAGCTGCAGATCACCAAACCAAGTGTCCTGGATTGCAATGAAAACCTTAGAGAAGGTGGCAAGATCATCCAGGTACAGAACAGTGTAGGACCGGTCCCTTTCTAAAGGAAGAAAACCAAATTGTAGCAGAGGGAATTATACCTCTGTGAGCACAAGAGCAAGATAGAGAGATGGGGAAAGAGTAGCAAATTCACTGCAGGGGGAAAAGGTAACCCTGTTCTTTGCCCTTTGCAAAGCTGCAAAGTCTTTGTTCTTGTCCCTCCCTAGGCAGGCAGGGGTAAAAGGCTATGGTGTTTTCCTTGCTACGTGTTGAGCATTTTCCTTTCTTCCCTTGGTCTTTGGGACAATTGTGTTGAGACATCTCAAGTCTGATTCTAAAGCCATGGAAGAACCCCCCTCATTTCTTAGGGAACTGATGGGCTTTATTTTTGAAGTGGAGCAGGGCTACCGTGGAGCTGTGACCTTTTTTTGGTTTCTGCTGCTGCTTATCCAAGGCTTCATTGCTGTAGGGCAGTGCCCTTTGGTTTTGTCATGGATACCCACGTACTGGTTATTGCAACAACAGCAGATGAAACATCCCTCTTAGAAGCAGTTAAATAAGTTAGCTGGAGAGCAAGGGACTTACTGTGGGAACTGCTTGGTTTGTTGGTTTTACTAATGCTCAGTCTGGATGCTGGCCACCAGCTAGGCTGTGAACACAACTGGAGCTGGGAGATCTTGAGGGAAGCTGCACTCAGTGGCATTTGGTTTAGGTTATAGCAGGAAATTCTGCATCTGGGCCCTTTGTCTCACATTATCTGCTTTGATGCCCTGCACACACCATGACCATTGCTTAACTCAGAGCTGCTGCTGCAGCAAGAATTAAAAAATAAGAATTCTTCTTCTTTGGGCCACTTGTAACTTATTTAAGTAGAGGATGTTCCTAATCAGGACTGCTCTTTGAATAGGATTTTGCTTCATTAGGAAACTTCCAATAGGACTATTTCCTCTTCTGAAAAATTTCAGAACTGGGGATGCTGAGTAAGCAAAAAAAAAAAAAAAAATCAGGCATTAATAATAATTCTTGTTTTCCTTTTCTTTTTTTTCCCAAATATTTATTGAAGTGTTAAGAAAACGCCAGAAAGTTCCTAGCAATCTCTGCCAGAGCTGTCAGGGCCAAATCCCATGACCTTTTCATGGGATCACACGTGACACTGGTAGCACAAACTGAGCAGAAACTGTCATTCCAACCAGGGAATAATCAGGACACAGAAGAACATTAAAGAAGACATCTCAGCTCTAGGGCATACAGTACATTTGTATGGGCATAACAAACACACTTAACAGCTAAAGAAAAGTGAATTCAGAGCTGGAGCTCCTTGATAGCACCAGGGCAGACCTCAGGTGGGCCCTTTCTGTCCAGCTTCCCAATAGGTGAGCGTACCCAAGTCTCATCCATCTGGATTGCCTTCTTAACCTAATACTTTCCTCTTCTCCAGGCTGCTGTATTTTAGACCTTACTAATATAGACTCTTATACCTTGTCACATCCAATGGGATAAACAAGCCATCTACTCTGATGTTACCCTTCCAATTTCTGACACTTTTAGAAGGTATTTAATGCATGCAACGAACCTGGCCAAGTGCAGAATGCCATACACCAAAAAAAATAGATGATCAGCATGGTATGTAATTAACTTCTTTAAAGGTTTAGTTAGAAACTGTTAGAGCCTTCCAGTTGCCATGTCTACTCTATTCAAACACCAGGCATCATATTCATTGCAGTGGCTCTGAAGAGGAAATGTACACAAATGAACTGTAAAGACATCAAAACAACAGATCAGCACTGGATACAAAAGCTTTATCCATGGAGCCTGGAAAGGTATTTAAAAACAGTTACCTGGACTGAAATCCAGTCAGAATGATTGCAGCTTCTACATGAAAGGCCTAAAATGTGGCTTTTACAAAGTACTCGGTTACTGCATGGCCATAGAAGGGCACAGTTGCAGCCTGCAAGGGTCAAAGCTTGCTTGGGTGATGCCAGTCCTGTTCCTTACAGCACAACACCCACATCCAGTCAGCTGGAGCATCACAGTCATTGCTGGTGGGGAAAGGCCATCGATAGCTCAACAGGCAATTGCCAGCAACATGATGTCCCCAGCATTGCAGCAGGACAATGACATCAGCTGAACATGATGGCTGAAACAAAGGCAGGCTGTTTCCTGCTAAATCACATGGACCAGTTACTACACCATGCTTTTAGTTAGTGGAAAAGTACATAGAGAAGAGCATAAGGAAATAAAAAGGGGATGTATCACATGCAGTCTCACAAAGACAAAGAGGCTGATAGATCATCTGATCTGTATTTTTGAAGTAAAGCTTGTAAGTGAAATGTATGGATTGGTACTAAATCAGGGAATCCATTCTGTTTCTTGGATGGTTTCCCTTTTGCCAGCCTGGGGGTGCCAAGGCCAGTCCTACCTCAAAGGACAATTCTCATCAGCCTATCAAAAGAAAAAACAACTCTTGCTTCCTTACCAGAAGGGCAGCTTTGACAGAACTGCCCATGAAGTAATGAACATCCATGAAGGATATCTAGTAAGAGCAAGACAGTAGCAAGTAGGTTCTCAGATGACTCCGTGACAGGAATGCTACTATTGGTGAACTTTTCCTTGGGCCAAGCCGTGTTCAGAATAGTTTGGAGAATTCAATCATCTTTTCTTTCATTTCCCCACCACTGCTGGCAGAACCACCAAAGAAAGGTGTTCAGGTGATGAACTGGATGCCATTGTAAACGGCATAAGTCAGCATTATAGGATGACTTCAACTACGTCACACAGCCTATGGTTGAACAAAAGCTCGACAGGAGAAGGCTTCAGTGGAAAGGTTTTGCTAAGCTGCTCTCTCTTAGCAGACATTTCCCATCTGTGGTTTTGTGAAGAGCTGTATCAGTCCAGTGAGTGTGTTTCTGAAACACTGCTTGCTAATGTTTGAAGTCTGACACCATGCAACAGATGCAAAAGCTGTTCTTTACAAATCTATAGGTACTGTTCCACAAATGAAACATTAATGCATAAACAATCAATTCCTGTCTGCATCCCTGCTGCTGCAGACCATGAATGAACATTACACAGGTAAGGAATATCTCCAGGGAAAAGAGTCAGGTATCTGCAGAAAACAACTACCTGTTAGTAAATGATACCTGTCCTTTTGAGTCTATATACATCTCACCCTGTGGTACAGCAGGAGCATGGCAGACAGCTGTCCTTCCAGAGAAATAAGATTGTATTTTAAGCCTGGTTTTAGTCACCTGAATATAGTTTGAGCTACTGCATTATCTCTGCACTTCACCAAATACAATAATCATGGTCTATTCTAAACAAAATATATCTCCCTTTGTTGTAGATTAGTTGTATTGTAGACTACCAGAAGAAGGTGATTGAACTGGTTGACAGTAGCTCAGAAAAGGACCTCTGAACTTACACCCTTCTGGGAGATGGCACAAATCATAGAATTGTAGAATAGTTAGGGTTGGAAAGGACCTTAAGATCATCAAGTTCCAACCCCCCTGCCATGGGCAGGGACACCTCGCTCTAAACCATATCACCTAAGGCCTTGTCCAACCTGGCCTTGAACACTGCCAGGGATGGAGCATTCACAACATCCCTGGGCAACCTATTCCAGTGCCTCACCACCCTTACAGGAAAGAATTTCCTCCTTCTATCCAGTCTAAACTTCCCCTGTTTAAGTTTTAACCCATTACCCCTTGTCCTATCACTACAGTCCCTAATGAAGAGTCCATCCCCAGCATCCCTATAGGCCCCCTTTAGATACTGGAAGGCTGCTGAGGTCTCCACGCAGCCTTCTCTTCTCCAGGCTGAACAGCCCCAACTTTCTCAACCTGTCTTCATACAGGAGGTGCTCCAGTCCCCTGATCATTCTCGTTGCCCTCCTCTGGACTTGTTCCAACAGTTCCATGTCCTTTTTATGCTGAGGACACCAGAACTGCACACAATCTCCAAGTGAGGTCTCATGAGAGCAGAGGGGCAGGATCACCTCCTTGGACCTGCTGGTCACACTCCTTTTGATGCAGACCAGGATACAGTTGGCTTTCTGGGCTGCAAGCGCACACTGAAGCCGGCTCATGTTCATTTTCTCATCGACCAGCACCCTAAGTCCTTCTCCTCAGGGCTGCTCTGAATCTCTTCTCTGCCCAGCCTGTAGCTGTGTCTGGGATTGCTCCAACCCAGGTGTAGGACCTTGCACTTGGCATGGCTAAACTTCATGAGGTTGGCATCAGCCCACCTCACAAGTGTGTCAAGGTCCCCCTGGATGGTATTTCTTCCCTCCAGCGTTATCAACCGAACCACACAGCTTGGTGTCATCAGCAGACTTGCTGAGGATGCACTCAATCCCACTGTCCATGTCAGCAATGAAGATGTTAAACAAGACCAGTCCCAACACCGATCCCTGAGGGACACCACTTGTTATGGTTTCCAGCTGGACACTGAGCCATTGACCACAACTCTTTGTGTGCAGCCATCCAGCCAGTTCTTTATCCACCGAGTGGTCCATCCACCAAACTGATGTCTCTCCAATTTAGAGACAAGGATGTCGTGTGGGACAGTGTTGAACGCTTTACACAAATCCAGGTAGATGACATCAACTGCTCTACCGCTGTCCATCAGTTCTGTAGCTCCATCATAAAAGGCCACCAAATTGGTGAGGCAGGATTTCCCCTTAGTGAAGCCATGTTGGCTGTCAGCAAGCACCTTGTTGTTTTTCATGTGCTTTAGCATGCCTTCCAGGAGAATCTGCTCCAAGATTTTGCCAGGCACAGAGGTGAGACTGACTGGTCTGTAATTCCCCAGGTCATCCATTTTCCCCTTCTTGAAAACGGGGGTTATATTTCCCTTTTTCCAGTCATCAGATGTGATGAAGTACCTTGGGAGGGTTTGGAGAAAATCTGTTACTTGAGTTTTGCTTCATGGGTTCCCAGGACCTGAACTTTATTGTTCTACTTATCTGGTCCAGCAAAGCAAAGAATGCAGCACTAATGACCTGCATTTAAGAAACTTTAATGACAGAAAGCATTCAATATCAAACTACAAAGTTTGATTGTTAACAGCCCATAAAGTAAGGAAGGGAGACTTAACTGACCCAGCTATTTAACATGCAGTTTACATCATTTTCCTGTTGTCACAACATACTCATTATTGGATCTCAGCATATACACACTTCACTTGTATAAAGCAGATATACCGGACAGTAAAGGGTAAACTTTCCCTATTCACAGTTAAGAGCATTGCCTTAATCTTTTATCTAGGCCTGCTTTTCAGTGGCACTTGATACAGGAGCTATACGAAACACTTCCTTGAATACATAAAGCCAGAGATTGAGTTACACATGATTGAAGATCTATGCCTGCTAGTAAAACAAAAGCTCCTGTATTACCTGGCACATGCCTGCTAAATTATTGAAGCGTCTCTTCAAACTGAATATATTCACTGGATAATTAGTCAACAGAAGAAAACGGTCTCTCTTTACAAAGCTAATGTTGACAGGCATTGTACCTTTTATGCACTGTAACAAAAAGTATTTGCAGAACTGATGCAACACAAACATTTGGAATGGCTGCGTCAGCACGCAAGTGGTCCTGCGGCACATGGCCCTCTTTATGATACTGCCTCAGCCTTGTGTTACCTTACAAGCAAGTCCCGAACAGCCTGAATTCCCTTTTCCTCATGTAGCACTATCCCTGTTTCAGAAGCAGATAAATGGTACAAATAAACAGAGGCTTGGTTTGCACTGGGGGGATGAAGGAGGTGTCTGCAAGCCAGTCTCCAGCCCTGCGCTATGCCAGCCTGCACTGAGGTGTCAGGAGAGACCTCCCCGCATCACTGCCTCTTGTCATTCCTAAACCCTGTAGCTGTGATATCCCCACTCCAGTGGCTGCATTCTCATGAGCTGGTTTCCCGCTGTGGATTCCTGGGAACACAGGAATCCACGTGTACACAGAACATGTCTCACCATGGAAATACCCGTTAGCGTCTGCCTGCTGAAAGCATCGCAGCCAACCAGGTGATCTCGCTTGGTTTATTCTGACCTGGCAAGGGGAGAAGAGTAGCAGTTTCCATGCTTCAAATGGCTGTTCTGTTGGTGAGAACAGTAGAGTGGTCTCTGTACTGCCAGTACAAAACCCTAAGCTTACCAGGAAATAAGAATAAATGCCTTTCAGCTGTTTGGACATGAGCTGCAAGGTGAAATACACAGTTCTATGAACTCCAACTTGCAGCCTGAGGTGTGCACTGTGTCAATGCAGACATTGCCGGGGCTTTTTGTTTCAAACTATGCCTGTGCCCTGACAGTAAGGGGACAGACAAGTTCTTTTAGGGACCCTTGACAGAATGGTGGTATTCTATCATATTTACAGTTAAGGCTTTATTTTATTAACAAGATATTATGATTCTTATAGCACAGACTTTAGGATTAGAATGGCACACTTTCTACAAGTAGAACCAATATAGTGCAATACATAAGTAACATAATGTAGAATTTGTAATACAATGACTTATAATTTCTTATCACCTGGACCCTCTGCAGATCAGGTTGGATCTTAATACATGGTTTCCTTTATCAATGTAACAGTCTAGACTTGAAGATCATATAAAAGAATATGAGTCACTCACGTGATCCTCAGAGGAAGCAGAAGTTGGTGCAATGGAAGCGCTCCTGGCCACAGGGCATCATGGTCTCACTGTCCAGCAGCAGTTTGGGTCCAAGATGCCACTTAGGACCTGTAAGTGCTTGATTGCATAGACAGTGCAGTGTGTGCTGTTATGCTTCCCTGTTGTGTCCCCACCACGGGGCTGGCTGGGTGCCTGGGACCTTCAAGGCCAGTGAAGAAGGGAGGAATCGTCCTGGTGCCCGGGAGTCTTGAGGCGGGCAGGGAAGGGAAGAAGGAATCCGTTTGGTTTGTCTGCGGGGTTCACAGGACCTTCAGGGCCTGATAGTGAGGGAAAGGGAGTGAATACATGACCCACTCGGCCGCAGAGGATGGCAGGTTGCCTTACAAAGTGGTGTTAGGCACACCAACCACATCCCTGGGGTCAAGAGGAGGGGGGACTGGTCACACATGCCCAAGGACAAAACAACTTGCTAACTGGGGTAAATAAGCGATTTAAAACCCCACTCAAATCTTGTAATCCAAGACTATTTCTCCCTTTCATTATCTTGTGCATTTCAAAGCCTTGAAAATGAAAACTGCACTTCAAACACTAGGAAAAAAAATACACTTGTCTTTTACATAGCTTATCACTGAGCCTACCTGGTTTGGGGTTATTTTAGTGAAGTATTTTTATTGGCTTTTTTTCGTTCTTTCTGCAAGAAAGCCAACTTAGACAAAAACATAGTGCTGCTTACCAGCTTTAAACCTACAGTCTTCTATGACAGCAGTATGAAAACTAGTCAAAGTTACCAAGACTTGTCTTAGAGGGGAAAGTTATTAGAACTCTAATAGCCCATAGTCCAGTTCATACAGAACTGACTCACCTCCACTAATCTTAAATTCCTTAAATGTCTGTTCTCCAAACATGCTACCAACACGTTTACTGCTACTGAGGGCCCCAAAACTCGGGCAACCGCACAGATGTCTGCCGGGAAAGCTTTGGTTAAGAAGCCATCAACACTGCCATCCCCCGGCACAACAGGAGATTTACAGCAACAGCTTTAAATTGCACATGATGCATACTGCAACTGCTGGGGTAGAACATTTCACTAGGGAATTAATGTTATTCTCAATTTGTTCCATTCACTGGTTTCTGTTGCAGCAATAGATGATAATGTTCCATCCCTGGAAGTGTTTAAGGCCAGGCTGGACAATAGTTTGATTGGAGCTTCCCACATACCCTTAACCCCAGCTCTATCTCAAATCCATTCTCCTCTGGAGAATGACTCTAACCTGTTTTCCCAGCCGTGGAGCTAGGCTGGAGTACTCACCAAGCCAGCTATTGCGTTTCATCTGACAGATGGTAAATTAAGATACTCTGCTTGACTGAATGCCATTGTGCAGACATGTCTGGCTTTCATTTGTGGAGGGCTTTAGCAGACAAACTTTTTGTCAATTGCTTTGTTTTACAAAATATGCTTCATTAAACCACTATGCAAGACTACTGACAGGTGAGACCAGCAGGAGAAAGGTCAAGAGAGCTGAAAATCTTTATGAAATGTCCCCATATGGGGGCTTAGCTGAGTTCTTTGTGCCAAAGATTATTTTTCTGCAATAAAACCACAAACATCGACAGCACTTTCCAAAAACTAACAAAGTTGTTCTGTAACTCTAGCATTCCTATGGTTAGCTCTGGATACACATTAGCATCTTACATTCTTCATTCTTTTCATTTTTTGGACAGGTAAGTGCCATAGAATAGCAAGTTAATACGTTTCCAGATCATGCACTAACACTTACCCATGTGTAAGCTGTCACTGTGTTTAAGGGGATACAGCTGTGTGTACTTTTACACATGAATCTTGCAGTAAGCCCAGGGAAGAAAAGTTACCAATGCATTCTCTTAACTTGGGTAAGAAAACAAAGCAAAGTTTGACTCTGTCCTCCCAATTGATCTAATGTGCTGCTTGTGGTTGGATGCCAGGTGCTCACCAAGCCACTCTACCACCCCCCTCCTCAGCAGGACAAGGAGGGGAGAAAGTAAGATGGAAACAGAAATGTGGCTAAAGACAAAGGCAGTTTAGTAAAGCAAAAGCAAAGGTCACATGTGGAAGCAAAAGAAAACAAAAGGTTTTATTCTTTACTTCCCATCAGCAGGCGATTTGTGGCCACTTCCTAGGAAGCAGGGCTGCAGCACACATAGCAGTTGCTCTGGAAGACAAACATCGTAAATAATGAATGCTCCCCCTTCCTCCTCCTTCCTCTCAGCTTTTATTGCTGAGCAGATGTCCTATGGTATAGAATATCCCTTTGGTTGGTTGGGGTCAGCTGTCCTGGCTCTGTCCATCCTCAGCTTGCTCATGAGGGGGAATATATTGGAGCAGTGCTCAGCGATGGCCAAACCACTGCTGTATTAGCAACACCCTGCCTCCTAGCAATACACAGCATAGCACTGAGGGCTGCAATGGCAAACATCAACTCCACCTCAGCCAGACCCAATATATGTGCACAGCAATGTAATGGAAAATACACTCCTTCTGAAATTAGTCTGAATAACTCTAAAACGTGACTGATAGAAAAATTGATTCCAACAGCAGAGTAAGTACTCAGCTCATTCCTACATAAGTGTATTGCCAAACAAGAGACTTACCAGTGCTGGCTTCATCATGAACATAAATCTTGGCCAAACTTAATATCCACTTCAGCAGGAGCAACTCCATTGGATCCAGCAGACATGTACTTGGTGAACTAGAGTGAATCTATTTTCTAATCACTCATTCACACTGTTCAGTATGTAAACAAAAGAGACACCAGGATTTTTTTTAAACAAGAAGCAGATGCTACATCCCATCCTTCCCTGTTTACACCAGTGGGAGTTCTGCATGCAGGAGATGACTATGATTTTAATTTTTGCCATCAGTGATCTTCATCTACAGCCTGCAAGTGCTTGGTGCCATTTGACTGGGAAGTCTGGAAGAATGCCCTAACAAGCAAAGGTTGGTGTGTAACAATCACAACCTTTAAAAAAACAAACAAACCAACCAAAAGATTATCAAACCCAAATGAAACATTTGCATAAATGACCAGCTATTGGTGTAACTGCTGGGAACTCTTCCCTATCTTAGAGAAAACAAATAGCACATTAATGTGAAATCTAAAACCACATAAACCATAGAATTAGTAGGAAAATAAACATCTTGAGAAATAAACCCCAGAAAACAGCATCCTTAAAAAATAGCAAAGTATCTTTCATGGACTCTCCTCAACTATACAACTGTGCCAAACAAGAAATACACACCCAGCAACAACTGATGGAACACTTTAGAGAGGAGTCTTAAACTAAAGGACCAGGTGGCTCTGGAGTTTGAAGACAGTGTGATTTATTTCTACTAAAGACAAACTGTTAGGTGTTTGGCTGTTGAGACAGCAAGGAACCTGATTCATTCTTATAAAACAAAAGGCCTTTCATACCAGTCTTCTTCATTCTCTGACGCCAAACCAGGAATCATTCATAATGAAACAGTAACTGGAAAATGCATTAGATTTCCAGCTTGAGCAGTGGAAGAAAAGTACTTTCAGAAAACATATCTGAATTACAGTGAAAAGACAAGAAGCTGCTTTTAGGAGTGAAGCACAGCACCTCCCCCACGTTAATGTAACAGAACTTCGGAGTAAAAAAAGCATTTAGTAAAAATTTTATTTGAAATGTAGCAAGAACCCATAACCATAAGTGTTACAACATACAGTTTTACAGAGAATTTACTGTACAATATGACAGGTATTTCTATACATGCACTTCCCCTGCTTTTATTTAGTCATTATATCAAACGAACAATAGTTAAAACAGGAATAACAAGCATTCACGTCTAAAAAGAAAACTTTGGCATGTATACAACTGGCTAGTTAGAAGTAAACAGTGGTAGATTCAAGTCAGAAAAAGACCCACTCATTTTGTTTCACAGCATTTTTGATCAGATGAAATTTACCAGCACTATTTTCTATTTAATACAAAACTGAGTACTTTTATTCAGTCCAGAGCCACCTGTTAAGGGATGAAAACATTTAAGCCTAAAAGGTGTCAGTTTGAAAGCAGTTTAGGCCACAAGTATTTTGCACACATTGGTTTGGTCATGAACAAAACAAAACCTTTAATGGTTTGCTCACATTACTGAACTATTATATACCACTTGGCACAACTGGCAATTTCTCCTTTGAACTACCATAAGTATCATTGGCTCAGAAGTCATGTCCACTGCTGGAGTGCAGGAAAAAAAATGAAGTAAAACTTGCACTGTGCCCATCTTCTGTCTTGAGTTTCTGTCACTGCTGTTGGCCACTTACATACCTACCTAATTCATAAAAAAAATGGGGGAAAACAATTTGCAAGGCATTTCTTCCCAGCACACAGCAGGCAATACTTCCATTTTAAAAAACAGAAAGCAAAGAAAAAACCCCTGAATAATAAGAAGCCTCCTTTGAGAAGAATTACTTGCAATTCTTTGAGTACTTACAAAAAAATACAGTATTTATACAATTTCTGCAGAACTGTAATTAACATATTTTAATGCAGTACTTATAAAATAAATCCACAGATACAAATGGTTGCACTTCTAAGCAGGAATATCTAACCCAGATTTAGATTTTGTTGCAATTTCATTATTGCTGTGGAACGGACAGTGGTTGTATACACATCAGCGTATCTAATCTGAAAAATGCTCTCCAGCATGTCAGAACACATTTAATGTAATTTTTACAGTTCCTGCTAAATGTTAGCGATTCCAAACTGACTGAACTGTGGTGCAATAGGGCACAAATGGCAGAAGAGCAGTGGAGTAGAGGCAGGAATGGCAGAGTAACAGTAGAGCAACACCAGTCAGACTCGTACTCACTACTTCTTATTCCTTGGCTTTAACTCTTCTGCTGCATTTCGCAGAAAAATGTAGTTTTTCTTTTGTGGATTATAAAATTCATGACCCTAAAAAGAAGAAGAATCTGTATTTACTCTCTTCAAAGAGGAAATATCAGCATTACCTTAAAATGTTAAGAATATGAATAGCCCATTAGTTTGTTTTTTTCAGATTTGATCTTGAAGCCTTTAAAACCAGATATTGGTTGGTGCATTAGAAGCAACTTACTGTAACAGTTACAAGAATTGTACATATGAAGGAAAATTTAAGGGATATTTATCCATCTTTAAGGTATTAAAACCCCCACCTTTTCATATTCAAATAACCATGTATCTCTAAGCTCTACTTTATAGCTGCAGCACAAGAGCTCAATATTATTTTTTTAATGTCTTCTAGGCAGAGAAGAAACAAAACTTTAATAGCCACCTTGTTTCACTTGACTTTTTCTACCTTTTAAACAAACTAAGGTCACGTTCTTTCCCCAAAGTGAAGCCCAAGTTCTACAGGCAACTGCAAAACCATCTGTTCCCCAATTGCAGATGCAAATATCCTATTTTGCATGTTGACATTATCTGCATACACACTACTCAATACGCATGTATCCAAATCAGGGAGAGCAAACGCTAATAAAGCTATTAAAATCCAACACACAATTTGAAAGTTACCAACTCTACTCGGCAGAAATGGTTCTAGAAAGATTAGTACTTTGTACTTACCAATTTTGCTACTTCATATCGGTTTACAGATCTGAGAAATGCCTTGGTACATTCTACCAAGCACTTAGAACAGAATTCACTTGCTCTAGCACCTAACAAAGCTCTGCTACTTTGGGCAGCATCAACACCAGATACAATGCAGTAAATGAAAAGTTTGCTCTCTACGTGGCATGCAGTAAAGCTCATCTCTGCATTCATGTCAAAACCAGATGGGATATTATCCTCAAATTTAAAAGCACTGGTTGTAAGATGAAAGTAACACTCTTAATGGAAGTCACCATTCAATTCAAATCACTGATGTTTCAACACTGCTACTCCCACTTTAAGAAATATTGATTTTCCATGCATTATGGTTTGTTGTGATTCTCCTGAATCTATGTGATTTATTGTTGAGTCAAGTTTGTAACTGCCACGAGCAAGCCGCACTGAGCGATACTGGAAATAGAGTATATGCTATTCAAAAACTGGTTCAAGTGTTTATGACCACAGTCACAGCTTCTTTCTGAAGTCAAACAGAATCTGCACAAGCAAAGATGTGCATTTCAAAGAGATTTGTGGGAACCTGCTGGGTGCCACACTGCCCCATGACATTCCCCACTGCAGAATGTGTGTGAGCAACCGGAATAACTTTTGCATTGTGTAATTTACATTTTGCTCATCTACATTTGCAAAACAGCATTGTTTAGCAATCTTGTCTGACTGAAGCTATCACCCAAGGAACGCACTGCTGTGTTAGATTTCATCAGATGTCTAAAATGACCATTGTACACTTTCTTGCATGCTTGTGAAACTAGAAAGACCAAGCTACTATTTATTAAAAACAATGAAGACCCCTTGTGAAAAGGGCAGTCTTAGTTGTCAACTGCAAGTATGGAATGTGAATCTAAACTTTACTTACCTTTGACCAATCATAACTGGAAGCATATGCAAATATATTGCCATTATGGTTGAAACAACAAGCAGATATTGGCTGGTCAAGTTGTTCTGATGTTTTTAGCTTTGTTCGTGCATCTTTATCCCAAAAGCTGAATCTACCATCGGATCCCACTGTTGCAAGAGTGCCATGGACAGGGTGAAATGCTATCCCATTTACCTGCAGAAGCAGAGATTTACTATGTAAAACACCATGCCTATGGACAGGTGATGGGAACACTCAAGAAACAGGCTGCATCCTAAGAAAGTAAATACACAGGGGTTTTTTCAACTATAGGTTTTGTTGGGATTTTTTGGCTTTTTGGTTTTGTTTTTTTTTTTTTGCTTTTGTTTGTTTGCTTTTTGTTTTTTAACATTTTCAAATAGGTTCTGGGAAAGCAAACAAACAAAAAACACCAAAGCAACGAGGAAAGCATTACCTTTTTCGTAGCAGTTAAAAATACAAGGCATAATCCCATTACACAAATATATTAAGTACTGTTTAAAGTTAACAAGCGTCAAGTCCAACAAGATAACTGATGAACAGCTGATGTGGTACTTGCTTTAAGTGCAAAAATTTGTCTTTCCCCTTAAAGTATGTCTAGTCTTTAAACATACATCTGAGATAACTTCAGATGAGGTAAAAGATCAAGGAGAATAAATAATTCACAGTGAATTGTACACTAAGAGCATACACTGCCCTGTAAAAATAATAAAGGAGTACATGCCGAATACTTACAGCATAAATATCCTGAGGTGCTGATGTGTTTGTTCCATTGGAGCGATGGCATTTAAAAGTGAAGTTGTCTTTTGCACTGGGGAAAAAAAAAATAATAACAACAGCAACAACAGTAGTAACAACAATAACAATAATAATCTCTTTTTATCCTCACTGTAGGCTGAGCAATGAAGAACAGATGTTTTTTAAATGATACTTACGGATTTGGGGGATTGATATAATGAATAGCTACTCTTCCTTCAATACTTCCAAGGGCAAATCCAGTAGGTTTGTTCACTTTGTCTTTAAAAATAGCAACACAGCGATGCTAAATTTGAGAAAGAAAGAGGATTTTAGACAGAGACTTGAGGGCCATATTTTCTGAATGCTGCCTATTTTCCATAGGGACATGAAACATCACATGTATCAACACAAAGTAAAGCAAAAACACAAACAAGGTCAAGAGATGGGCCAATTCCTCATGAGAATATGGGCCACAGTATTTACATTTCTAAATCCTTATGAAGATCAGCCACAGACCAATAGGAAACCAGGGCACATGCCATAATGAATTAACTTGGTTTTGAAACATCACTCATTTTTACCAAAAAATGGCAAGCCCAGAATTTTGACAATCTGTATAAATACACTCAAATATTATCATTTACCTGGTGTTTAAGAGGAGATTCTATTCTTCTAAATTCAGAAGGTTGGTTCTCTAACTGATAAACTATCAAACCCCTTTCTGCAGTGGCCACAGCAGCCATAGGATGAACCTGGATAAGGTTGTAAAACAGGTTGGAAGAAAGACACTTGTATTAATAGCATTGCAGAGAATTTTTGACTTACTATTTTGCAGAAATCCCTCAAGAAGATAAAGGAATTTGAATATTTTGGGGGAAGAAGGGGTGGAGGGAAAGTGGGAGAAAGAACAAAGTTAATCTGTAGATATATCTTCAAAGCAAATACATCAGTTTTTCCCTGCCATTGAGAAATTAAGCATACTAAAAGTCTTCTAATATTAGCTGACTCCAATGTTAAACACACTAGTGGTATACAAACTCAGCCAGAAACAGGGGTAGGTCAGTGATAGTTCCAATTTGGTTTTGTTATGCTAAAAGGATACTAATCATGTTTTGTATGACGCAAATACCCTTTTTCCAAAGCCTGATCAAGAATATCAGTGTCTGGTTTATTGCTAAAACCCCACAAAGGTCAAATACTAACATTCAGTAATTAGTGCTGATCTACAGAAGCCTCAAAGCCTGACAGTATAACCACATTCCCAGTCATATACCTTACACTAGTTTACCCTGTATCATGGCTTACCACATCTGCACAATAACATCTTTCAGGGAGCTGCAGTGTCATCATGGGCGTTGGTGAACGGGTATCCCAGAACTGATGGAAACAGAAAAATGAACAAACTTATGCCTGGAATGGAGGATACACCATTTAAATTAGTTCAGTAAAGTGAATGCAGTCAGTACCAAGCTGTTTCATTCTTGTTCTATAGCCAAAATACTGCAGCTTTATGTGAAGTCATGCTAGTTCATTAATTCTGCTTGGGGTTTTTATTAATGTTTATTAAAATACTCTCACTTCACATAAATATTTTCATACATAGGTTACTAGCATGCTTTGTGTCCATGTGTTCAGGTAAATATCATACCTTTAAAGTTTTATCCCAGCTTCCGGTCATCACACAGCTATAATTTGGTGCTTTAATCCAATGGATAGTCTTCACAGGTGCATCATGCTGAAGAAGAAAAGCACAAACACACACACGCTTACTACAACAACAGTCCACGTTTCTTGTTTATGCTCCTCAGACTTTGCATGTGTTTATACTTCTTACCCATTCAAGAAAAGTGACTCATTATTGTAGTCACAGCAGTTAGGGTAAGGGCTGGTCATGACCTTACTGTGTTGTGGGTGACCTTAGAGCACTGAACATAAAAAAAAAAAAAATAAAAAATAGCTCCTGACACAAAGAACTACAGTTAAGTCACCCTACACAGAAAGATGGTCATAGCAGAAATACAAAGCATGAATAGCAGGACTTTCACAGAGTCATAGAATAGTTAGGGTTAGAAAGGACCCTAACCATCTAGTTTCAACCCCCCTGCCATGGACAGGGACACCTCACACTAAACCATGTCACCCAAGGCTTCACCCAACCTGGCCTTGAACACTGCCAGGGATGGAGAATTCACAACCTCCCTGGGCGACCTATTCCAGTGCCTCACCACCCTTACAGTAAAGAATTTCCTCCTTATATCCAATCTAAACTTCCCCTGTTTAAATTTTAACCCATTACCCCTTGTCCTGTCACTACAGTCCATAATGAAGAGTCCCTCCTCAGCATCCCTGTAGCCCCCCTTCAGATACTGGAAGGCTGCTATGAGGTCTCCACGCAGCCTTCTCTTCTCCAGGCTGAACAGCCCCAACTTTCTCAGCCTGTCTTCATACAGGAGGTGCTCCAGTCCCCTGATCATCCTTGTTGCCTCCTCTGGACTTGCTCCAACAGCTCCAGGTCCTTTTTATGTTGAGGACACCAGAACTGCACACAATGCTCCAGGTGAGGTCTCACAAGAGCAGAGTAGAGGGGCAGGATCACCTCCTCTGACCTATTTACTTATAAAGGATATTATCCATTTTGCTAAAAATCAACTCTTTGTAATAAACAACATGCTGTATTAAAGTAATAAAAAAATCCAGCTTCTGGAAACAACTGCAGAAGAAAGGCCTATGTTAACTACACCAACATGCTACTTGATTTTAAAATCAAGGCTGAGAATCTGAACATTATCACCTTAAATAAGATGCAAGAAGCAATCAAAGGACTAACTCTCTTCTTAAATTATGTAACTGGTAACTCATTCTATCACTGGAACTACCGTAACTATGAACAAACATCAACATCTACATCGAGAACGTAAATTATAGTCCCTGCTACTGCTGCAGCAGAAAGCTGGTATTTGTGAAAGTGAATTCAATGAGTTCTTAAGGTTTTCCTCCCACCCCTATAATGCAGCAGGGTGACTTAGTGAGATCAATACAGGAGTCCAAAGAGCTTTCTCAAGTAAAATAGAGGCTACAGCTACACAGGTTATTCAAATCACCTTGACTGCAGGTTTCCCTATGCATGTGCTCATCATTACCTTAAAAATACAGAACACACCCTGTAACCTCTTCTTCATATAGCAGTACCTACTTTAGAAGCACTAAACATTAGCTTGATTTGTTAATAAAGGTAGCTTTTAATAAAAGAAGAAAAGGGGAAAAAAAAACCCAACCAAAACCTAGTAGTTTGAGGCTTGCTTACTTGTGCAATCTGGATAGCTTGATTACTGTTGAGATCCCACATTTTGGCAGTTTTATCACAGGAAGCAGTAAATACTTTACTCCCATCCTAAAAAAACAAGAATAAGGCCAACACATTAAATACCTCTATCATGCAGTATTTATTAGAAACTTGTCAAATTTTATTCTCTTTTAATAATCCTGTAACTTTAACATAACACATACAGGGACTGCAAGACAAAGAAGAAACACAGAAATGAGAACTTATGTATATGTTGCAAAAAAGAAAAGTGTTAGCTGTTATCTAGCTTTAAATATATATTCTTACTTTTAAACTCACTTCTTACACCATGTTGGTCTATTTGGTTAGGGCATGCTTAGCATGTATTTACTGTAACATAAATCTATACAGTAATTACAGGCTTCATCTACATGTAGCACTCATGTCAGTCTGGAAACCCCATGCCCTCTCACTTAGGGTTCAGGTAAAAACAATCTATTTTTAAATAGGAACATACATCACTCCAGCAGCCATCCAATACAGGCCCTGTGTGCATCTGCTGAGCCTTTGGAATTGTCTGTCCATTATCTTGAACTTCCCAGCAGCGAACCTGTAACAGGAGAAGCATATGCAGATGTAACGTAGTAACACGAAGGACCTAAAAAGACTTCTGTTGAAGATCCCAGCCTTATTTTATACAACAATAAATACAACACCAAACTTTTCTCACATCTAGTGAAACTTTATTTTCTCCGATTATGTTCAGTTTATCTGTACAGCCACAGCTCAACCCCACAACTTTGACTCCAGCTCAGAAGTACCTTATGATCACATAACACCTCCCAGTGCTCTCCTGAAGAACCCTTAACCCTCAGCTAGGCAGGCTATTGGCCAACAGCTATAATGGTTAAAAAATGCTTCATGTTTGTCTAACCTCCCTGTTTGTCCCAGCTGGGATCTCACTCTTCAATACAATAAAATTCAGTAAGGTTGTAGGAACTTTTTTGAGGCTGCACTGTCAAACTGGATGATTTACCAGTGTATTCACAGTTCTTTCACTGGGCAAAACCAAAGTAGGGAAAATAAAACTAATAAAAATCAAACAGGGAAAACACTGACTATATATTTCAAGCTGCATCTGAAAACACACAGGCAGAGGAATGACTTATCAGAATATCACAACAAAATTTTTCAGTTGAAACAGTCTGGCTCCATCAACCTTAGTATCTTGGCACCAGACATAAATTTTGCAGTGAGAAAGATTTTCAGGTGCTCTGGCATAAGTTTTTAGGATTGCATTTTGCATTTTAGGCACCAGTGCTTCCACTTTATGAGTACTTACATCATTTGCCCATGATCCTGCAATGAGGAAATTACCCGGCAATGTTGGTGGACTAAACGCTAGACAAGATATGCTGTCATCAGGTGGAGATGTTACTTCAATATCCTAAAAAGGACAAAGCATAAAAAAGAAATAAATAGCTTTAAACTGACAGAGGGGAGACTGAAATGAGACCCTGTGAGAGTGGTGAGGCACAGGTTGCCCAGAGGAACTGTGCGTGCCCCATCCCTGGCAACACTCAAGGTCAGGTTGGATGGGGCTTGGAGCAACCTGCTCTAGTGCAGGGAGTTGGAACTGGATGAGCTTTAAGGTCCCTTCCAACCCAAACCAGTCTGGGATTCCATGAAAGTTAGCCAACTTTGAAAACTGTGCACTGAGATCCTACTATTTCTATACAACTAATTAGTAGATACTGATGTGACACATTAAAACACTGCAGCAGAACAGCAGTTCCCACGGGGGACAATGCACATACCTTCATTGGATTATGGTTATCTGCAGCTGTACTGCCAAACATGCCGGTGCCTCCGGTACCAAACCCTGACGTTGATCCGAACAGGCTCATCCTTGCTCTGCAAACGAGAAGAAGGCTTACTGAGACCTGCAGGGCCCTCAAGCATGCCTAGGGTGTCTCGCCACTAAACCAGCACAGCCCTCAGCCCGCCTGGGAGGCACCCAGAGATGTACAAATACAAGAAAAGCAAATAATGACGCTTCTCACTGCGGTTGGACCCGACATCTCCACCCCCCCACCCTCCGCCAGGCTGTGAGGGACCCCTGCTGGGGACGGCAAGAGCCAGTCTCGCTATGCTCCTCAGCCCCACGCCCCAGCCCCACATCTCTGCCTACGTCCCGCCCGACGAGGCAGCACGGGTGCCCGGCGGGGCACGACGCGCCATGTCGCCGTGGTCCCCGCTTCCCTGCCGGCAGCACCGGCCAGCGGCGGGCGCGGGCAGCGGCCGTTCGGGGGATCAGCTGGACCTGGGGCCGCCCAGACGCACGGACGAGACCCGAGCGCCGGCGCGCACTCACCGGGGTGGCAGGCCCGCTCCGGCCCGCTGCTTAAAGCGACGCGGCGCAACAGATAACGCGGCTGCAGCGCACTGCAGGCCGCGGCTTTCTGCGCAGGCGCCGCTGTCAGTGGGCGGTAGCCGCGTCTGCGCCCTGGCCGGTCGATGGGGGAAGGATGGGGAGGGTCGGGTTCAGGGTGTTCGGAGCGCGGGGGAGAGTGGGCTCTGCGCTTCTCAGTACCCCCCGTAGCGCTGCTACAGAGCAGATAGAAAAGGGTAAATTACGTTTTCTTTCCCTGCGCTGCGAGGAACGGGTCACCCGAGCGGCGGCGGCTGTAGCCCTGCAGGAAACGGTGCAAATGGAGTGGAAGGAGGTGGCGTGGTCAGGCCCGCCGCAGCGTGGGGACGCGTCGCCCGGTTCAGCTCGGAGGGTGTTCACCGCCGTAGGACGCTGCCCCGCCGGTTCTCTGCGGCGGAGACGCCCCGTCTTGCTCTGCAGCCCTGCGTCGAGAGTCTTGGCCCTGCCGACGGTATCGGCCTTGCGTTCTTACCCACATTGTGCTCATGGGCTGTATGAGGTACTATCAGGTAGTAGCACCGCTGCTGTGCAGTCGATGAAAAGGAATTTGATCTCCTTTTGAATTTAATACTGCTGGAACAGTAGTAAATAAACCCAACTGCATAAACCTGAAAATACTGTCAGCATACTGTCCGCAACACCCATGCAGGAGGCTGTGTAGATCACTTGCAGTATTTACTCTGCAGCCAGTCTGGTTCCCTCATCTAAAATTTATTGCACGCTTTAATCACCACAGTTTCCTGCTCCTTTGGACTGTTTTAGAGCCAACTAAAAGAAAATGAACAAGGGATACTGTTACGATGTGCATCATTAACGGGATTGTTTATTAAATTCTTAATCAGCAACATCTGCTTGTTCACTTGTTCATTGAAGACAAACTAATTTGGTTGCTGGAACATTTATAGCTGCTTGAGATATGCAGTAATGAAGAATTATTTCTGACTTTTCAGTCAGAATTTACAGTTAACACAAAATGCTACAATCCTGTACTTAAAATAATTTCCAAAAGGAGGCAATAGTTAACAAAGTATTTTACTCTCTTGTGCAGTAAGACACGAAGCAAAGCAATTCCTTGATAATGTTTTTTTTAAACATTTTATGGCCACAAAGAACATATTTCATTATCTTTTTATTTCTGTACCATTCCATTTGACATTGATACACAACAGAAGCTGCGGAACAGAAGCAACGGTAGTCTGTAAATCACAATTTCTCTTATGGTTTAAAAGAGGACAATGAATAGTAATCTAAGTACATAGATAATGAAACCTAGCAGGAAGCTGGCACATACTCCTTCCTCTGTCTCTACATTTTTTTCTAAGAGCAGTCAACAAAATAATACAGGAAAAACATTTCATTTGCAAACAGGCATTCAAACCCATCCACCAAATTGCAGTTTGTTTGGTAAATAGACTCTGGAAAGGTAATCTGATGAAAGAGAAGTTAGAACTTGAATTTCAGCCTTCAGCTTGGATGCTTCCATAATTTCCAGCTAAAAAACCCCAAAACCAAACCAAATTAATATGTGATGCTGCCCAGCCTGATCCAGGGGTAGGCAGTTAATAAGTAAGAATTACACTTGTTGGATGTGTAAAATCAGTATTACTGGAAATGGTGTTCCCAAATCCCCATCACTGAGCTGAGATTCAGTTTATTGTATGCTCATGGGTTCTGTGGTGTGCACCTCACAGTAACACAATCTCTAAGATTAGGATAACCAGCTAGGAGAAGGTATGCAAGACCTTTTTGTCCTGTCTAACCATTTCACACAATATATGCCTGAATTGAAATAGATGCTTCAAAAGCTACAGGCAACATTAGGGATCTAGGAGTAAGTAAGTAGCTGCTATAAGCATTACCCTACTTGTAAAAACGTAATATGTTCTATAATATTTAGGAGAGCCTTGTGACCATCAGAAGACTAATGGCAGGAAAGCTTTAAATGCTGCCAATTCTGGCCCACTGATTGAGAGAGACATCCCAGAGCATGGGATATCCTTTTGAAGGCAGCAAAACCTTGCTGGTTCTGCTAGACTGAGAGTTTGTCATCATATAGGAGGACAGGATTGCAGAGGGTAGGGTTTTCCCCCTGAGAGTAAGAAATAGGAAACAGTGGGTTTATACATACTTCCTTTTTCCATGTTGGCTGACAAGCAATGTAAGGTCTCTTCTGTATACTTGCTAACTTATTTTGATCTCGCTTTGTAAATGGAATCAGGGCGTCTCTGCGTATATTTAATCTGAAAAGAAAATAAAGTTGTTGGATTTTCTGGTATATTTCAATATTTATTCCAACTTATTTATATTAAGCCAAAATTATGTATGACAAAAATAATAGATTTAAATGTCGGTTGTCTTTTAAGTCACTAAGTCAGATTGCATTTTCTGTCTGTGAAACAGAAGAATACTTCTGTTTCTTTTGGGGAAATAACTAACCTCTGGAGATCAGATGGAAGGAGACCAAGCCATTTTATAGACGGAACGGTGAGATGATGGGCCTCAAAAGACATGGACTAAAATAAGAAAGGTCAACTATAGCATTCAGTGAGTTTTAGTTTAAATTATATGCGATAAAAGGGATATAATAAATAGGGGATAAAGATATAAATAACATATAAAAAATAAGGGATAAAAGGGACATGGAACTGTTGGAACAAGTCCAGAGGAGGCCACAGGGATGATCAGGGGACTGGAGCACCTCCCATATGAAGACAGGTTGAGAAAGTTGGGGCTGTTCAGCCTGGAGAAGGCTGGGTGGAGGCCTCATAGCAGCCTTCCAGTATCTGAAGGGGGCCTATAGGGATGCTGGGGAGGGACTCTTCATTAGGGACTGTAGTGATAGGACAAGGGGTAATGGGTTAAAACTTAGGAAATTTAGATTGGATATAAGGAAGAAGTTCTTTACTGTAAGGGTGGTGAGGCACTGGAATAGGTTGCCCAGGGAAGTTGTGAATGCTTCATCCCTGGCGGTGTTCAAGGCCAGATCGGACGAAGGCCTTGGGTGACATGGTTTAGTGTGAGGTGCCCCTGCCCATGGCAAGGGGGGTGGACCTGGATGATCTTAAGGTCCTTTCCAACCCTAACTATTCTATGATTTTATGATTCTATACCTGTATTCCAAGGTCATGGTCAGATTTACAACAAAGATAATTAGGTATTTTCACTGTCAAAATGGTGTAGAAGACACCTGAAGCTTACCATATCCCCTTGCCAGAAATGCCTCCTTCACTAAGATTTGCATCCTTCAGCCTATGGCAGATTCTAGACCCATTTCAGTCCCATTTAGGCTGGCCTAGTCTCAATAGCTTTGATTTGGTTTTTACAGTTACTTTGAGACTGATTGCCAAAACAAACAAAATTAAGCCTGGAGGAGCAAAGACAATCAAATCTGGAAATTTCTGATATTTTCTGCTGGAAAGTATGACATCATATAAAAATAGCCCCCCCAAATGGCCCAGTGTCATGGCTACAGTAAATATTTTAGGGAAAAGTGTAAAAGCAAATAAGCAATTAATGATACTTTTCAGAATACTCCCCCATGCTCCCAATGGTTTGTGACTCCTACTTTCTGAGCCAGACGTGGTGATAGTGGTGTATTACTTATTTTGGTGGTTTGCTTTTAGAATCCATGAAAACTTTTTGTCATCTCTTAACAGCCTACAGCACCATGCAGCAAACTATCACAGTTAGATGATATGTTGTATAAAGGAATACTTCCATTGTTTGAAATGAACTTGACATGTTCTAGTTTCATTTGATACACCCATTGCTCTGAAACTGAAGAAAATGAACTTACAAAGGAAGATGGCAATTTAGTCCTGGAAGACGGTGTTTTATGAGTGCACATGCTTTTGTAGGAGAGCTGAAGGTGTATTGAACAGTTCACCCAGCTCCTGTCCTTTGCCTTCCGCATGGTCTTCCTGTACCCTCATCTTTTAGCATATCTTTAATAGCATAATGCCTTCTTGTTCTCTTTGCCTCTTTTTCTGTAATGTTCCACACTAACACGTGGCTCCATAAGCAAATTCTCACCCCAGACCAAAACCTTTACCAGCATAACATATTTTTGTGGAGAATCACCCATCTCACAAGCTATGTCCTCCTCCTCCCAAGGTCCCTCCAGTCTTCATTTCTCTTCTAAGGCAGAAACAAAGCAATCTGGAGAACACTTTTCTATTTGGAGTGCCTGAAAGCTGCTTTGTGCAGCAAGGAAAGACTGTAAAATACAGTTAAATGGTGAAATACACATGAAACACCTGTCATTGTCAGCCACTTTGTTTCAGGAAGAAGCATTTCTGCAGAGACACAAAGCCTAAAATCTGTGTTTTTATATTGAAACAAATTGATAAAAGGCATTCTAACCATGCCTGTAATAACATTTCATATGTTCCACCTTCAAGGGTGGGCTACAAAACAATGTATTTGAAATGGAAAAATTATACTCACCACAGATCCATATTTGTAGATGCACATTATTTCTACACCTGGGTTGCAGAATACCAAATGTCAACTGTCAGTTTATCTGCACACTAGGTGTGTGTGAGAAGACTGCATTGAAAAAATTCAGGTTTATGGTGTAACTGTTCTGGTTTTCTGATTGGTTCTTTATGGGTTACGGTTATTTTTAGACTTTCAAAATAATCAGAATTTGAGCATAATATGTCATCTTTATACAGTTCAATGTTTCATGCTGCCTGTGTATAGTCAATTAAAACCCAAGGATAATCAGCTCTTTCACATAGTGTCCAACATCTATCACAAATGTGTCTATCTGTACTGTAACCCGTGTCCCTTAATACTATTGCTTTATTCGGTACAAGATTCCTATTAACATGTCAAAGCACAACAAATCATCACAGAGGGTAGAAGTATATTCAGTGGGAATGTAAAGCAGTACTGACATTTCATTTTAACTCCTTCCATCCTCCTGAATATAT